ATATCCATCAAGACGAGTTTCTAGAAAGCGTTCCTTAGAAGCGTAGTTCTTATGATGACCGCTGATATCGTACGGAATTCACGATACAAACACAGTTCAAGTGGCATATGGGTTATAATAGCGGCAATACGGAGGAAGTCGAGAAGCTAGATGGAATACCTAATAGTTTATTGAAAAGAAGTATAATAAGACAGGAGTAAGAATTGAATGGTAGAATGGGTATCTTGAAAAACGAGTCCCTTTTGTTTTCTCTTGCTTGAACCTGCATGAGCTTGCTTTCTTCTGATGGCAAGTCTCCTTCGAATCTGTCTCCACACATATCCCCTTTCGATCACCCGGAAACGCCTCTCGCTGTACCACTTTCCTCACTTGATGGATAATTGTTTACAGCAACCCCGAATCTGAATATATCCCCCTTCATGGGAACATCCGGCGTGTTGTTCGTTTACCAAAACGATTGTCCTCTCGTAAACTCTACAGATCCGTAAAGTATATTGAGGAGTTGAGTAGGAGAACGTGGTCGTGCGTACAGGGGGCGTATAGTATTCTAAGACTGAATCGTGGAATAGGAAATAGTTCCGCAATATCGACACGCTCCAACCCTATCCTTTCCATGCCATTTCTCCTCCTCCATCCCCATATTCCTCCCAGATGGCCGTATCTACCCCCATTCCCTCCATACCCTCCATCTTGACTTCCTCATCTGCACCCGTACCCACGCTCTCAAGCTCCTCCCGCTCCTTCCCCTTCGTACTCCCACCACCAGGACTTGCCGCTGGGGAATCATCCAAACTCATGGCGGAAAACAGGCCTTTCATATCCCTAAGGTCTTCTCCGGTGCGATCACGCGGACTGATGGTACGCTCCTCGATGAAAGTACGCATGGCACGAATGAGTGGTGGGTAATTCTCGTCGTTGGGGAGCCACCAGTGCTTGACATCGACCTGCCAGACCTCGGTCATACGGGTACGCAAAGTGGCGGGGTAGATGTATCTTTGGAGAAGACGTGTTAGCTAGAACCTTGCCCTTGCTTCGGAAAAAGAAGTCTGATAGAGAGGGGAGATCCTGGCGTTGGAGTGGACAGGGGTTGGGGCTAAAATGGAAAGGGGGGGAGGGATGAAGGTTTGGGGAAAAAGTAGGTTTGGGACAGCGAAACTCACCCTAGAGACTCAATCTTTGCTAGTTTTCTCCGAGCCCACATGATATGCTTCTCGTCCTTTGGAAGAAACATCGTCGCGATAGCTAAACTCGCTTGTGCTCCTAATAACGCACCTGATGGACTATGAGGATAATATTCTATCGCAGTAAACATCTGACACATCTTGTAGGCAACCTTAACTATCTCTTCTCCAGGCGGCTTGCGTTGTGCTAATGCAAGTTGGTACTTAAACATAAGATCTATAGACCAGAAGTCTATCAACGCGTTATTGGTACTGAACAGCTCTTGGCCGTATAAAAAGTTGGGCTCGAAAGGGTCTACGATTTCGTCTGGATGTAACGGTTTCGCACCGGTGAAATCTATGACTCGTTTTGAGGGGTCCATGATCTTTGGATCGACGTTGGCTTGCCATAGATTGAGTTGCTGAGTCATACGTCCAAGTTCTGCAACGAAATCTTCATCGCTAATGAGGCCTTTACTTTTATTTGAGAATATAAGTGCCATATCGGTTGCTAGTAATCGAGTAAGAGCCAACCGCTCTTCATATGCCCATTGGATTTCGTTAGGCCGCTCCCGTCTCATATTAGAATACCACTCGTGGCAGCCTTCGAACCAATCCCGACTGAGAACTGTCTGATAACCTGCTTGCAATGCTGCAAAGAGATCGAAACGGATATACCAGTGAATGATTTTACGGAGCGTTTCGTTTTGCATTATTGTTTTAGGAGTATAGAGTTCTGTCAAAATCTCGTACGCTGCTTTTTGATGGCCTATTAGATTAACCCAGTCACCCAAGAATTCCTGTCTCTTGTCAGTGGCTTCCGAATACCAAAAGTAGTGTACGCACCTCGAAGCTGGCTAGCTGGAGAATTGTTAGGAGAGTTGCGACAGTATGCCTCTGGTTCCTTTGAAGGGACAGTCTAAGTAAAGAAACCGATTTGTTGTAATACTTTAAGAAGTCTTGAATTTTGCCGTCTGGTTGTGCCAATGTATGATGATATGCGGAGAAGCCCACGACTGCGTAAAGTAACGGTTCGTTCCTGATGGCGATTTCCAAGAAGGTAGTCCGTAAAAAGTCTGCACCGTCATGCTTGAATCCATAATGTCCACAAGTCAGGTTATTTTTATGCCATTCTATATAAAATCTGAGGTCGGATGGTAGTTCTGCCCAGGTCCTACTGGTAACCGGTCTCCTCGCGGCAATCTGCTTCCCCGATGGACGTGAAAGGGGTATTCGAGGTTGAGGAAGAGATGCTGAACTCTCAGTAGAGGGAGATGGACTCTTATCATGCGTGAGAGATGGTGTATCCGAAGCCTCTCGACGAGATTGGACCGTGGCGGGATTACTTAAAGAATCATTTGGTCCTAATTCATCGTCATCTGGTATTGGGGCTAGACCCCTGTGTGTTTCTTCATCCCCGGAGGAACCTCCTTCATTTTGGGTAGAAGCTTTGTGTTTGCTACTACTACTACTACTGCTTGATTTTGACTGCGCCGTTGAATCCGGGTAAATGCAGTCTCGGTTTCCTTTGCGGCATCCTGTTAGGAAGAGAAGTCAGTATTATCAGATTAGCCAACATGAGATTTTTATCACCCACGCTCACAGATAGGATGTGTTTCGTCGCACTAAAAAATACGACTATTTCAGCATTTATATCACATGATATGGGTTTTTTTTTCTTTTGATAATCATACCTTTACTCTTCGATTTCTACATGTATAACAACCACTTCGAGTCCGTCGGTGTTTTACATGATCAGTTCCCCCTAAAGGTCTTCTCCTTGCTCTCGAATTGGGTTGTGGGGTTATCATGGTGGCCGGATTCTCTTCATAACCCATATAACTCTGGTGCATTTGTTCTGTGGACAAAGTTGGCATTTGCTGTAACCTTGGTACATAGGCATCTTGAGGAACCAGTTGTGGTACAATAGGCAAGCCCGTATTCGGGTCATAATAATGAGGTACATTTGGGAGACCATGATAGCCACGTCCGTCCATGGTCGGTGTTTTGCGATGTTTGATAGCGGGGAATGTTAGGAAGATATAACGCCCGCAATATGTTTAAGTTAACGTCATTCGTGCCGTTGAGCCGTCTCAAAGTCCAAGGTAACCGTAAACCGAGTAATGAGTAGGGGGCTTTCAAACAGGGAAGAAGAAGGGAACAAAAGGGATTCTAGAAAACGACGGCGTGGAAATTATATATGAGAGGCGTAAATTGTTCCAACGAAGCTTTTTAGGTATCCAAGAGCCAGAAGAGTACAAGTATAAGTAAAAGGTTAACGTGATGATCTGGGAACCACACGGGATCCCCTTGCTGGAGGTTAGCCGGGTATATTAACCTGGACTATCAGTAGTCGCGGACTGATCGATACCTTAGGGGATAAAATAAAGCTAGAAAGTGCGGGACCTTGGACCACCGAAAGGGAATATGAAAGGAAAAGAAAAAAAGCAGGATGAATATTGGGGTAACAGGGTCTAATGGAATTAGTATGGTTAAGTGTATGGGGTATGGGTATGGGTATGGGTATGGGTATAGGTATGGGTTGTGGCTGTATGTACAGTACTGTACAGTATCACTACCGTACTTATGGAGTATGGAATTCTAATCTGCTGTGTTAAAAGTTGCAAATTTGTCTGTCGGTGTCGGTGCGATCAGATCTCAATGATGAAACTCCATGTGCAGACTGCAGACTGGAGAATTATCTTGAAAGATGGGGGCCTAGATGCTAAGCTACATAGCAGCCGCAACGATGCCTAAACCCAACCCTCGGCACAAGGTAAGGTTCATCTTATTCTTTACGAAGACTACGATGCAACAAAAAGAGCTCCTAAAGAACCTTATTTGGAGTGTTGTCCTATAAACCCTGCAGTGACTCGTCCGATGTCATGGTTGAGTATTGGTAGAATCTAATAACTGTCCATTGATATCACTCCGTTTTCCGCTCGCGCAATTCTTTTCGCTGTACGGAGTAATTCATACTCTCTATCCTATCCGTCATCCTAGAGCACGTCTTATTAATGGATAGTATTAACCTGGTTTTGCTTTGATTGTTTCCTTCGCACCCTGAGTGATATGATTGCTTCGATTGATGATGTTAAACAGGGGCAGTGGGGGAAATAGAGAAAGTATAGAATACAACGATCTCTGGTGGTCTGAGATTAGAGTATGATGTCCCGCTCCGGCGAGTCGTCGCTCGCGCCAGAATATTTCTAATGAATTAGTAGCAGAAGCCAGAAGCCAGAAGCCCTTATGGAAAACCCCACAATCCTGGGACGGTTGGTAATCCCAGCAGTTGGGATCGAAATGGTGACCAACAAGGATTATTTGAAAGCAAAAAGACGCCCGTAATCTCATAGTCTCACATACGTAGATGCTGGCATGCTGCTACAGCCTAGGTACAGTATGCATGATGTTCTGCCAGTTTCTGTGCTAAAGAACGCTCTGGGAAGATCTCCTTTGCAGCGGAGCCAAAACATCCTGGATGAATATCGAAGGAGTACTCATGTACGGTAAAGTTAGGCTGAGTGGCTGGACGCGGGTAGACTTTTTGCTTCTACAGTACATTTGTACGGAGGTCGGAGGATGTATGTATGGTGGAATGATGGTTGATGAGAAGCAATGCGTGCTGCAACCCCCCCTCTTTCAAGCCTAAACATACGGGAACTGGTTAGGGGTTGTCCATAAAAGGCATCGTACTACGAGCGTACTGCATAAAGTCAACGAATTGATCCGTAGGTAAGATATCCTGATGCCATAATGAAATATTACAATTTACAAGATACTATCTTCGGTCGGTATGTCTTCGGGTCAAAATCGTCACCCAGCCAAATTTTCTTCCATGGCAAGATGGCCGAGCGGTTAAGGCGCCAGACTCAAGTTTATCTGTGAACTTCTTCCTTACTGGGTCGATCATTCTGGTCTCGAAAGAGGCGTGGGTTCAAGTCCCACTCTTGTCAGCATTAACTTTTTGCCGTTTTTTGTTATTATTTTATAAAAGAGATCAATATCACACTCAAAGTCAACCCTACTATTACGGCAAGATGGCCGAGCGGTTAAGGCGCCAGATTTAAGTATACTTAAATGCTTCTCCCTGGTCTCGAGAGAGTCGTGGGTTCAAATCCCACTCTTGTCAATATCCTTTTGCAATTTTTGTTGTTGAAATACGGTAAGGCTTTTTTTTCTTTTGTTAGTTCACCCCACATAGTTCTACATACATATATACGAAGTACACATAGAATTAGTTATACACAAATTCGGGAGCTCATCACAGTCACAGTCTAATGAAGCACAAGATGAGATGGGTTTCAAGACAAGAATGGTATGAATGTTCGTATCAATACCCTGGACTCTGAGAACAATTCATATCTCGTATCAAAAGCTATGCCGCCGGAGTTTAACAATTGCGTGAAACCCGCTTTTGGCGTCAAGTCTAAGACGGGGTCATCCATGGGGTTACTGATCAGTTCTGAGTTCTGACACATCTCCGATGCACGAACGGCGCCAACACTATAACTTTGGGGACGGCGACCATCCGCCTGGAAAAGTATGTCTTTGATTCCACCAGGCGCCAGAACGGCGTGAACGGCTACTGCAACGGCCGAGGATCCGAAAAATAATAGAATAAAAACTCGTTATTCATTCCTACAATAGGATTCGATCGCTGTGGTACTAGCGGCTTCCCGCGATATTGTTCCTAGTAAAAAATTCCTTCTGTTGTCCCTCAAGACTCTCCAAAGTTAACCATAGTAGTACCGTGAGTACGGAGTATTCACCAAAAACCAACCACAGATGGTGAAGAGTCCAGGGCCGCGAGGGTGCATGGCGCTTGCATATCAACTTGCGCATTTATCGTTGGTTGTTTCGCTCTCTCCGTAGGTAGAGATAGAGACCTCTTTACAAATGCAGAATTGCTGGAAGCTAGACTGGTTCCTACACATGGGCGCATACGCAAGCCCTTTAGTTCTAACCATTTTCATTATCGCAAGGCTGATTTGAGAGGCGGGATATGCAGTATAATTTACGAATCTCCAAATCGTAACTGCGCGGGTGAGAAAACCGCATGATAACTTGGATCACAGCCAATGGAGTTCTTATGAACCAAGAGAGAACTGCTAGATATTGACGAATAAGGTAACCAAATAACATTTATCGTATATCAGATTCATAGCTGCCGTCTGACATATATATGTCTTCTATAGCGCTTAAATTGCTCATGTTGAGTGAGAGGTATACTCATCCTATCGCGGAGGTTATGTGAAGTCAGAACGTAACCGTCGCATCTACTGTATGACTCTCTGTACACTTCTGTCAGAGCCTTTTGCTTTTCATCCCTGAGGGATTCGTTGAATATCGTAACGGCCGTCCATGCTTTCCCGTCATAATCTGCAGTAGTCTATAAACGCCACGGTGGTCGGTGAATGAGGCAATATGGTAGCTAACGAAAGAGACAAGATTTACGACGAAGGCAAGGTCAAGCGCTGATGCAGTGATGCTGCGTGCCTGGATCATGGCTGGGACAATTGGGATCAAGTGGATCCTATCATCCGGGGTGACTTTACCTACAAGTATGGAAGGGCTCTTTCCGGGCGGTTGTACTTTTCTACAATACAGTATCAGCACTGACCTTAACATCTGTGCCGCTGAATACAGTATCCCAAATGCTCAGTGGTGGAGATGTTGAGAAGAAGACATGATGTTGTACGTCATGGGCGGTTTATGTGCTGTGTCCAACCTAATTCGACTCGGTGGACAAAGCACTACAACGCCTATACCTGCTATGATTTGACGCCGATCCCTTGTAAATGGATATCGTTCGACTATCCAGGATTTCTGAGGAGATATTGAAAATAGGACAATAATAACAACAAATCGCATTACCGCCACTTATTCTGCCCTGCTTTGAAATAATGTAAAGCGATTCACCTTACTTTAAATCCATGACGCAGGTGAGCACCACCACAACAAACTCCTTCTGTCTCTTCTCTGCAATGAAAAAAAAAGGTAACCCTGCTTGAAAACACCCAAAGGTGCAGCACCCCTAGCAAGCCACATATCACCATCTTTTCCCGGAGAATTACAGTAGTCGTGGGATTGTGGTGGCATGACAACTGGCATTTCCTAGAACTAAATTCATGATGAATGAAACGCAAGAAATGGTGAAAACGGTGAGAGAATGGCCCTTGTGAGACTGTCACGACTGTCTGCTAGAACTACGCTTGCTTATTATTATTAGCGGCTTCGAAATTCAAACCTAGTTCTGACTTATCGTCTCCAACGGTATCTCCCATATCCCATGCATTTCAAGGTCCAATGGCTTTCGTACCGTGACAATGGTCACTTCCACGTGCTCTTGCCTCTAACTATGCTGTTAATTGACTTCTCGCCGTAGACCGTACCCCTTCTGAATATTTGAAATGGTTCTGAAATAGTAACATGTCCGCTAGGAATTCTGTAGAATGGAGATCTTCCTCCGATATAGCTCTAGGTTGTGAGATAAGATATCTTACATACCGTAGTTATGGCTAGCTTGTTCTCAGCAGACTGTTCCACAACTTCTACGGTAAAAACTAACGTACAGATTGATGTGTACGTTCACTCTCGATCGAGTGCGGATTGCGACAACCTACCTTTATGATCGATTAAGAGATTTCTTCTGCCGGTGCAACACATTCATCCAATCCATAATGGCGCGCTCGGATTGACGGGAGCTGCCTTCCATGACTTGTGCTGCCGTCTGCCGTTAATGCGTCGTAGACTCACTACTGTACGTTCAGACTCAACAGCCGAAAGCCCGACGCAGATCAATAAAGATCATCCGGATCTTCGGTGCCTTAATATTCGACGCTGCATATTGCAGCAATAATAAATAGCGACGGAGGTGGCGAATGGTGGAATGGGTGAGCCGGAATATATTTGTGGGATGTAACATGTACTGTATGTACTGTAACTTATGTAGGCATGTGGCGCTGTTGGGGAAGACAGACGTAGGACAATTTTTGGTCAATGCGCTTCTAGAAGAGCAAATTTGACAATAATAGCAATCAATGCGTCGAGACTTCGACTAGAACGAGTTCGTCCGAGGCCGACTGTTGTTTCAGCAGCTTCAACCAGTTCAACAGCTCTTGGAGCTCCCACACTCATTGGTATCGTTCTCGGAATAATAAAGAAGGCAGAGGTCAAGGGTTTAAAGTATGGTAATAAGTAATCAGGGCATCGGGCACCCAATTTTCATTAGCATCATTCTTACGGTCTGAACCGAAGAAAGCCATTCAAACCAGAGTCAGAATTAATCGTGAAAGAGAATTCGTCAAGGTCGTCCACCAGATGCCCCAAAGCCCTTCAAGGCCGTCCTAAGTCGACATAGTACCGAACGTAGCCCAGCCCTGAGCCCCTGACACCAAACAACACCCCTACTTGAGAATAAGACGCCGTTGAACCTTCCTAATCCCCTTCGTCGCTAATTGATCTGATCCTAGTCCCTAACGCCTCGAATTGCATGAGAAAACAGCTGGGTAATTGGAAGTCTTGTAAAGAAGAGGGTATGAGAAAAGTGTATGGGTAGATATCGGAAAGACCTGAGTGTGTAACCGGAAGGAGAAGAAAGAGAAGGATGTAGCTCAATGAAATTTTCGTCGTAGGGGGAATGCATTACAATTGATTATCAGAAGCCGGGGGAGTACTCGCGACCAAGCTACTATGGATGATCTCTGATGAGTTATCGCTCCCAATGGCAACGGGTAGCTTTCAGCTCGCGAGATCGGAATCCGGAGTCGCAGGTACAAATAGAGAATTAGAGTCAGAATCTTGTGTGTGGGTTGTAGTCTTTTCGTCAACTCCCTGGCCTCTACACAGAGGGCAGGAATTACGGCCGGTGGTTAACCACTAGAAGTTGGTTAGTCGGAGTGTAAACAAAGTGAGTGAGGTTCAACTGACCTGATCGATGCATTCCCTATGGAAAAGATGGTTGCAGTTCACGAGTAATCTAGCTTCCTCTCCGGCCTCGTAATCACAAAGACAGACTCTACAACGGTCATCGGCAACTAGCGGTAGCACTGCGGAGCCATCAACTTCAATGGCTGACAGACCTGGAGTTCCATTCTCAGCGGCCCGAATGACGTATAAGCCAGGAGCTGACGCAACATCTGCTTCGCTGGCAACGGGAGGTTTCGCAGGTCCTAATAAGGTGGAGAGTAAAATCATGTCTTCATAAGAAGGTGAATCCGTGAAAAGGCTGGGAGTGGTAAGAAGTGGGTGATTCTCCGGGTATGTCCCTCCTAAAACATAAATAATCCAGCTTCGAGAACCTTCAGCAGGAGCGTTGTCAGGTTCAACAACTCCATTTCTACGCGATGATCCCGAACCAAAACGCGTGAAATCTGATTCACTCATGCGACGTTGACGGGCAGTACGTGGTCGAGGTGTTGGTTCCTCAGCTGTCGATTCCAAACCAGAGCCTGTCGCACGCCGGATAAAGCTGCCACGTCGTGATGGAGTACTCGAACCTATACCCATAGTAGATGGAGTGTGCGAAGTAGTTGGTGTTGTGTTTCCGGAAGAAAATGCGGACAGACCAGAACTAGCAGGCGTGGATGGTGGTGGGCGCGGGCCAGATGGTGTTTCTGGCACTGTTGACCAAGGGCGTGGTCGCTCGGGGGAACGATGATGTCGTTGGCTATCATAGTTCGAGGGGAAGTTATGCAAACCTCCCATAGACGCTCGTCGTCGATGACTGAATCGATGAGGCTGTCTTAAGTTGCCATCTACATTCGATTCACTAGGAACTGCTAGTGGTGTCGGAAAGCCCGATAGAGCCTCGAGAAATGGTGGAATGTTGTTATCGTCTTGAGAGGGCCCGTTTCCTTGATTGATTGAACGAATTCCAACGATTATAATTGGTACCATTCGACCTTCCGCATCTTCACCATTATTATTTTCTCCATCAGAATTTGCATCCAAGCTACTTTGACGGCTGGATGCCTGGTGAGCTCGTTCCGAACGTCTATGGGAGTGGCTTGATCCAAAGCGAAACATTCTGAAAAAGTTCATCGGTCCGGCTAGAGCATCAGAAGAACCCTCCCCATTTTCCGTATCGTTTGCATTTTGACCCAAGGCAGAAGCAATCTGACCGTTCTG